CACAGCAGAAAAAGAAGAGGGAGCAGCATAGACAGGCGGCGGCGGCAGAGAGTGCTGCGGAGCTGAAACAGGCTGCGCGACAAAAACTGAAGAAGAGGAGGAAGCGGCGGCAAGTTTTTGTTGCTGCTTGGACAATTTTGCTTCCTCAAGCAGCATGCGAGATCGGCATTCATCAAATGTGGGTAAGGGTTTCTGAGAAGAGATGTGAGAAATAGCAGCATTGTACTCATGACCCAACCCCATTACAATTTGCATAACAACATCCCGATAAGTAATAGAGTCCCCAATGGAAACTATATAATCATACAACTCTTTCAAACGATCTAAATAAGCAGCCATAGAGAGATCATCTTTTTCCAAATGATAAAACTCATGTCTAAGATGAACAATCCGAGACTCAACATGATCACGAAACAATTTTTCAATCTTTTCCCAAGCATCAAAGGCAGTAAGAGATGTACCTGGTGTAATGATATTACGGAGAATTTCAAGAGAGAGAGTAGCTTGAATCCATGAGCGAACGAGAGAGTCAATCTGAATCCATTAAGCACGACTTGGATCATCAACCGAGGGGCAAGGAGTTGATCCATCAACATGTCCATAAACTTCATGTCCCTTCAAAACTGGGATGAAAAGCTCATGCCAAAGCAAGTAATTGGTGTAGTCTAATACTTCGTAAACATGATTCTTGATGTGGTTCAAAGAAAAAGCTGGATGTCGGGAGGGAGAAGCAACGGACGAAGAAGAATCAGAGGCAACAGAAACATTGAAAGAGAGAGGCGTTTTCGGATCTTCGGTCACATCCGTAGTGTTTGCCATGAGAGACGGCCGAAAGAAAAAAAGTTTTAGGGTTTAAGATGTGACGGCCAGCTCTATACCATGAAGATACAAAAAACCCGTAGGTGATATTGTATTGATACAAGGTATTTATAGTGTATAGGGTTACAACAAGATTACAATAATACCCCTAAACTAACCCTAATACATTTATACACTAACAATCCTCTCCTGCTTCACGACCTAATGCTCAATCATTAATATGTGAAGGGCAAATAACAATAAGAATACAAAGGTGGTTGCTCAATAATAAAACTAATGAAGGGAAATAAATAATGAATATTTTTTTGGAACATAATAGTATACAATTTTGTGCTAATTTTTGAAACGAAACATAAAACTTAGAAAGTATTGTATTATAATTGGTCACCACCCACCAACAAATCACTGTACCAGGGAAAGTTTGTATGCAATTAAACCAACCTCAATCTCCCAAATGGATGAAGAGCATCAACAAAGTGGCGATCTTACTATATTAATTTTAGGATATATTTATTCTTTTCCCTTCAATGGTTGCATCGCACCTTTTCTCTTGTACTGGACAACAAAAAACAATAACAAAATAATCAATGACCAATATAAACAAACGAAAAATATATCTTAACACAGTTGTATCTTTTTTCTCCCTATTCTCTCTATTCTCTACCCTAGCCATCTCTCTCCAAAAAGAAAAAAAAATTCTTCCCCCATCTTCCCTCATGGGTTGATGGGGGGAATTGATTCGAATTTTATAGTTTCTTGTGTTTTTTCTTTGTTTAATAAGTGAGATTTGTCCCGAAGTATCGTCCTTTAATAGATTAATTGTGATCTATTGAGAGGGTAGGGTTTCTTCTTGCAGGTATTGTTCCTTCAATAGATTAATTGTGATCTACTGTGAGGGTATAGTGTTCATGGTGTCTTCCGTATTGTTGATTCGATGTTCATAGTTTCGTTCGTTGCTTTGCACTGTGCGGTCCAAAAAGATTCAGTCATTATAGATTTATGTAATAGATCTATGATTTGGGGCTTTCATCAGATGGTTAGAGATATATTCTTGATCAGATTGTGATATATCCATCGTTGTATTGGGTAGATCTAGATAGGTTTATCTATGAGAAACACAACAATAGTAATAGATTCGATTGTAAGTTGTGTGCTTGTTTTGATTGTATCTTTCATCATCAATCGTTGCTGAACGATTTCCAGTAAAATAATATAGTTTTTTATTTCAAAAAAATATATATCTTAACAAATTATAAAAATCAATTCTCGATATACAAACAAAGAACATTGACACTTAATAATAAGCAGTAATCTAATTTGAAAGGAACCCATGTGAGGAAATACCAGAAATCTGAATAATAAAAGCTTACCTTTCTCTCAAAGTTAAAACATATAACTTTACCTTCACAAAACCTTCCTCCAACCCCCCAAAAAAGAAAAGAAAAATACAACAAAAAGAAGCAAAAGCTATTTGGGTAACTCATAATCATAACAAGATGTAAGGATGATAGCTCCAATAGTAAGGAATCTAAGTGTCGAACTCAATGCACGTATCTTGAACATTGGAACATCGTAACAGCTCCTTAGCTTGTGCAGAATCAACCCAGGGAGGATTCTGAGAACTATGTTAGTTTACTATCTGGCAGAAATCTTAGTAAGTATAGCACCCATCCTACCAATTCTCCTACTCGCAGTTACAACTTTTTTGTACTTCCATTTCACTGCATTAACTTTTCCATCATTGAGTTTTATTTTTGATTCCTTAATACTTGTACAATCCTTCTGAATTTGTTTCCCAGAACACACTGAATTTGCTTTTATCATATGTACCGTTTCTTTGCTTTCATCCATTTGAACTTGCTGCTCCTACAAAATATGATAAAGTAGCCATTAAAATTCCAAGTAGAAGGCACTAACTCATCAAAAATTCAAAATATTAATACATTTTTCACCTTAAATCAATCCTAAAAAGAAATTTGAATAATCTTCCAACTATATTTGGTTTTTTGGTTTCACTCTTTCTACTATTAAGACCATAACTGTATTAAAACATATGTCGGTTGAAACTTATTTGAAGTTTTACACTTCTAGCATACATCAAAACCTCCCTTTTTTGGGTGGTTGTCCAAAACTAATCTGCAACTTATGAGTTTATCCTTTGTCCGTAGCAATCCGAAGAGGTTTGTGGCATGCAACCTCGCTAGTTCCTTCCAAATTGCAGGTTCTTTGCCAAATCCAATTAAAAAAAAAACACACACACACACACACACATTTAAAAGCTCGGAATTTCAGCCTCTCAAAGAAATGACCACTCCAATTCAGTCAAGATAGAACATAAAGCACAAATACAAACACACTTTTAAGTTAATTTATAAGACTGTAATTAAATGAGAACCACACAAGATATTAATGACTAACTTGCAAAAAGGCTGCAACTTGTTGCAGGATGAATTCCAGTTTACAATCTACATCTAAGACTGAAAATGCAGGGGTCAATTGTTTATGTTGAATGCCCATCCAAACAATGGAAATAAGATCACGACAGCAGGACCTCCTGACAAAATGACAATCCATCACCTTAAATCGATCTAAAATATTCTGATTGAGAGGCCACTAACTCATCAAAAATCAACATATTTGTATACCTTTTTACATTAAACTGATCCTAAAAACAAATTCGTATAATTTAACCTGAATAGTTTCCTTTTCCTAAAGTATTCAGAATAGACACAAAGAAAAACATCAAATTCAAAGACTGATTAGTTGAACTTTAGATACCACATAAATGTAGTCTTTGTTGTCTCTGATCATCTTCAATTCTTCATCATTTTTGTAATTCTTTGGATTATGATGCCAATAAAGTACTCCTAAATCAGCCAAATACTCCAGGAAGCCAGTCAGATAGCGGATGGTTGGTTACATACAAAATTTTCTGATAACACTAAAATATATACCGTTTTAGTAGACATTTTCTACTCAGTTTTACTAGTAATTAGGTGTCAATTAGATGGAATTAGTTTACTTTTGGGTTGATTTTGTATTTCAGGATGATCAGAGGACCAAAGTGGAATATCAACATAAATTAGGGCCAAATTACACAAAATAGCATAAAAAGGACCAAATTAGAAGCTGCTGGAAATCAGAGGCTGGAGGATCGATCAGAGCTGAAGCAAGATTTTATGGAACATTATTACCTTATTATTTAATAGATTTTATTCAGTTTTTGTATTGGTCCCAAGTTAGGATAGGGTAAAATTATTAGCTTTTTAAAATTATTAATTTATTATTTATTAATTTAGCAATGTTTTACTGTAATTGTTAAAAGTTTTCTCTCAAACTTTAAAAATTCCTCTCAGTATATCATTTGCATTGTAATTTTTCCAAAGAAGAAAATTTGTGAAGAAGTTTTGTCCCATAAACGCTTTGTTATGGGGAGAAGGAGAAGGTTTAACATTGGGTGTGTTCCGAATGGAATGTAAATCTCTTGTTTAATCATTTTCCATCATTAAAACAATTTAATTAATATCACTACAAATTTCATGGAAAGATTGGTCTTATCAGTTAAGGTATATATATATGAATCCAAATAAGGAAGAACAAAAAGAGTAGTTATAAATCATAATCTAAAAAAAAAAATCTCAACTTCTTACAGAAAATATATATTAGAACTTACTCGATTGAAAATTTGGTGTAGAAAACTGTAAAGATGAAAAAGAATGAACTCTAATAATCCGTCATGGTAAACAGGTTTGGTAGTTTGGAATAATGGTGTCGTTATAATGAGAAATGTTTAAAGGGAATTAGTATACACTATAACATGTATGGATTGATAATTTCTATAAAAAACAAATAGAAAAATATATATTTTTCATTATAAAAAATGATATATCATGTCTATGATGTAGAGAGATACTCGAACAAACAAAGAAATGAAAAAAAATGCAACAAGAACACAACTTTAATAAATAAAACTAGAAAAAAAATTCCTTCATCTTAAAGATGATAAGGAATTATACAACAAGACCAAAAAGAAAACAACGCTTAAAATGCGGTTACAAGAAAACCCTAGCAAGTTACAACAACATCCAAGGGTATAAGACACCAATCATAAAAAACTAAGTGAACCCGTCCAAACTCTGAAATTTATTCGGATTTCAGAAATACCCATCAAATGAATTCCACTAATCAGTGACATTTGGATCAGCCAAAGGAAAGGATAAATCATCAGCTCCAGACTCAGATCGTCCCTGATCAGCAACAAACGATGGTCCATTTTTAGTTGATATACTGTCGTTTGAAAGTATTAGACCCACAAAATTCGAACCTGATGGCATGGCTGGATAATGAAAGTTTTGAGGTAGTGATGGTGGTGGAGGGGGTTCATAAGCAATAAGGTCATTATTATGATTATTTGGCTCTGGGATGTTGAAATTTGGAAATAGGTTGGTATTTGGAGGCAATCCTTTTTGTGCTTGAATCTGAACTCTTTTGTCCAGCTCTTCAAAAGCAATTTTCAGCTGCTCGAGTTGTTCCACACTGAGCTCTTCAATAGGAACTTTCCACCAATACCAATTCTGATTGGCTCTCTCCATCTCTGAGAGTTCGCTGCTCCTTTTCTTCACGGTGTCCATTTGATCTTCTAGTGCTCTCAGTTCTTCATTGAGGGTAATCTCATTAGCCCTACGACGTCCCTGAATCACCTCATCGATTGAGCCCTGAGGACCAATAAAATAAGGTGCTTGAGTCTCATACTTTTCTAAGATCTGACTCACACTCGGGGAGCCAAAAGAGTAAATATTGCCCCCCGGAGAAAAGACCACAATAGCAAGCTCTGACCCTGTTAGGGTGCAGAGTTCGCTCGCCTTTTTGAACAAACCTACGCGACGTTTAGAAAACGTGACCTGCAGGTTGTTTTCGTTGGTCATTTTGACCATATTTACCCTCTGGCGACCCCGGCTCATTTTCGCAATTACTATTACTTGCTAAAAAAAATATGTTTTATGAAACTAGAGATAAGGTTGATGGTATACTTGACAAACAAATAAGATATGGTTTGCTTGACAAACGAAGAAGAAAACACAGGGATTTTATTGATGGATGAAGTATGGTCAAAGTCAAAATTTTAATCATAGAATTCATGCGTATCAAATTCGTTTAAAAAACTATTATATTTAATTACTATATTTTAGGGGGTATGGATCTTTAAACAAGGTAATTTTTGTCAGTTAGATAATGTATTGACTTAGTCACCTAGTTTTGAACTTTTAATTGATATTCCGACCTGTATAAGTCAAAACATAACATTTTGGGAGTATGAACTTTTTGGAATGAAATGATTTAGAAAATCATGTGAAATGAATTAACCATGACATTTTGGGAGTATGAACTTTTCTATTTTTAATATTTTTTTTTCTTTTGGGTCCAGTCATTTTATTTTATGAATGTTGTATTCCACTTATTTAAATCTTATCTTTTTTATTTTTGCTTCGATGGGTTATCCTTTTTGTAACTCTTACAGTTTAGTTGAATGAATTTGACTTAAGATTAGAAGTTTGACTAATTGGACATCAAAAGAAAATTTTATATAACATACCTATATGGCTATACCAGTTCATTATGACTAATTAAGAAAAAAATTCAATAAATTAAAAGAATGCGTCACATTTAAAAAAGATGACGATTTTATCTTCCTTCTGACAAGGAATTCTGAGTCTATAAAAAGTAATTCCGTTATTAATGTATAGAACAACGATACACTTTACTCATGTTTAGGTTCATATTTCACATTTAACGGATAGATTTCAAACAACAAATAACCAAGTAACGGAAGGTAAACAACTACAATTAGGACAATATATTTGAAAATCTTGTACTAATCTTTCAATTAATTAGGTTCTTATTTATATGTAATTCAGTAGCTCGTACTCGAAGTTAAGAAACTTTGGCCTATATATATATAGAAACGATAGAAAATCAAGTCCACATATATTTGACAGTAAAACTAATTACTTTTCATGTAATTTGTCTACAAAATGGTACATGAACCTCGATGATTTTTTTACACTGAAACATGATATGGAGTCACTTGGACATACTTAAACTGAATTTAATATGTTGTTAGTACACGATATGGAATTTTTTTCAATCTTTTTTTTACAAAAAGATAGAAGATTAGATTGAGATTAATATGTGAACATTTTGTCCTATCAGATGAGTTTATTGGAGTTAGTGGGTTTATCTTGTGTTATATTCATATACTTGATTCATCACAACTCATATATAGTTAGCTTTTCTTGCAATATCAATTCTTGGGGAACATTATTTCTTGTATTTTTGGTTTACAAAATAAAACTGAAAGGGTCTTATACAACTATAGAGATACCACCCGTCATTAGTTGTTAATATTTGGATAACTGTAACTAGATATTTCTGTTGAGCTAATGCCCAGCCACCCTGTGAATTTAATCTGTTCCATAATAAAAAAGAAATTCAAAAAGTTCATTAAAAATCCAAAAACAAATACAAAATACAAAAAACTTCAAGGATTTTTCTAACTTTTAACCTTTTAAAATTTTTTGAATTTGAAGCTAAAATATATTAACTAAATTTAGTGAGTTTTGGGATGAAAAATTAGGGATTTTTATATTAAGAGTGAAATTTTCTTATAAATCTACAAATATAACTATAATATACCAAAACCGTTAGATCAAATTTGATTAAGTTAATCTCCACCGTTAAAAGCCATAACTCTATATTATTGACGGGAGGGTTGGGTGGGGTGGTTAGGGAATTAGGATGGGGGATGGTTATTACCAAGAGGTCGAGGGTTCGATTCTCACTGGGGCCATCCAATTTTTTTTTTTTTTTACAAAAAAAAAAATCTATATCATTGACAACTAAACCTATAATCACTCTGGTGCAAGGGCGGAAAAATATTGATTGTGGAGCTAATACCTCATCTTCGTGTATGCTACTTTAATTAAGTAAATATATATTATAATATAATATAAGTATATACTAGAGTATGTATTTTGGAGATGAGTTGATTACTTATGTTTCGTCATAATTATGAGGTTTTAGTTGCAAATTTGATCAACCTTCCCATGAGGAGGACCTTAAAAAAATCAATTATTAGTTTCATATTTTATTAAATTATAATTATTATATTATTATTTTTATTTAATGCAATTATGGATGTATGTTATCGTTGGATCTATAGTTATATGCAAGATTTTATGGAACATTATTACCTTATTATTTAATAGATTTTATTTAGTTTTTGTATTGGTCCCATGTTGAGACATGGTAAAATTATTAGCTTCTTAAATTTTTTATTTATTATTTATTAATTTAGCAATGTTTTACTGTAATTGTTAAAAGTTTTCTCTCAAAATTTAAAAATTCCTCTCAATATTTCATTTGCATTATAACTTTTCCAAAGCAGAAAATTGGTGAAGAAGTTTCGTCTCATAAACGCTTTGTTATGGGGAGAAGGAGAAGGTTTAACATTGGGTGTGTTCCGAATTGAATGTAAATATCTTGGTCAATCATTTTCCATCATTAAAATAGTTTAATTAATATCACTACAAATTTCATGGAAAGATTGGTCTTATCAGTTAAGTTTTATATATATATATATATATATATAAGGAAGAAAAAAAAGAGTAGTTATAAATCATAATCTAAAAGAAAAAAAAAATTCATCTACTTATAGAAAATATATATTAGAATTTACTCGATTAAAAATTTTATGTAGAAAACTGTAAAGATGAAAAAGAATGAACCCTAATAATCCGTCATGGTAAGCAGGATTGGTAGTTCGGAATAATTATGTCGTTATAATGAGAAATGCTTAAAGGGAATTAGTATATACTATAACACGTATGGATAATTTCTATGAAAAAAAATAAGAACATATATATTTTCATTAAAAAAATGATATGTCAAGTCTATGATGTAGAAAGATACTCGAACAAACAAAGAAATGGAAAAAAAAAATGCAACAAGAACACAACTTTAATAAATAAAACTAGAAAAAAAATTCCTTCATCTTAAAGATGATAAGGAATTACACAACAAGACCAACAAGAAAACAAAGCTTAAAATGTTCTTACAAGAAAACTGTAGCAAGTTACAACAACATCCAAGGGTATAAGACACCAATCATAAAAAACTAAGTGAACCCGTCCAAATTCTGGAATTTATTCGGATTTCAGAAATATCCATCAAGTGAATTCCACTAATTAGTGACATTTGGATCAGCCAAAGGAAAGGACAAATTATCAGCTCCAGACCCAGATCGTCCCTGATCAGCAACAAACGAGGGTCTATTTTTAGTTGATATGTTTTCGTTTGAAAGTATTAGACCCACAAAATTTGAACCTGATGGCATGGCTGGATAATGAAAGTTTTGAGGTAGTGATGGTGGTGGAGGGGGTTCATAAGCAAAAAGGTCATTATTATAATTATTTGGCTCTGCGATGTTGAAATTTGGAAATAAGTTGGTATTTGGAGGCAATCCTTTTTGTGCTTGAATCTGAACTCTTTTGTCCAGCTCTTCAAAAGCAATTTTCAGCTGCTCGAGTTGTTCCACACTGAGCTCTTCAATAGGAGCTTTCCACCAATACCGATTGTGATTGGCTCTCACCATCTCTGAGAGTTCGCTGCTCCTTTTCTTCACGGTGTCCATTTGATCTTCTAGTGCTCTCAGTTCTTCATTAAGGGTAATCTCATTAGCCCTACGACGTCCCTGAATCGCCTCATCGATTGAGCCCTGAGGACCAATAAAATGAGGTGCTTGAGTCTCATACTTTTCTAAGATCTGACTCACACTCGGGGAGCCAAAAGAGTAAACATTGCCCCCCGGAGAAAAGACCACAATAGCAAGCTCTGACCCTGTTAGGGTACAGAGTTCGCTCGCCTTTTTGAACAAACCTACGCGACGTTTAGAAAACGTGACCTGTAGGTTGTTTTCGTTGGTCATTTTGACCATATCTACCCTCTGGCGACCCCGGCTCATTTTCGCAGTTACTATTACTTGCTAACAAAAATATGTTTTATGAAACTAGAGATAAGGTTGATGGTATACTTGACAAACAAAGAATATATGGTTTGCTTGACAAATGAAGAAGAAAACACAGGGATATTATAGATGGATTAAGTATGGTCAAAGTCAAAATTTTAATCATAGAATTCATGTGTATCAAATTTGTTTAAAAAACTATTATATATAATTACTATATTTTAGGGGGTGTGGATCTTTAAACAAGGTAATTTTTGTCAGTTAGATAATATATCGACTTAGTTACCTAGTTTTGAACTTTTAATTGATATTCCGGCCTGTATAAGTCAAAACATAACATTTTGGGAGTATGAACTTTTTGGAATGAAACGATTTAGAAAATCATGTGAAATGAATTAACCATGGTATGAAATGCAACTTTTTTTTTTAATAACTTAAGAAACTTTTGAGCTTTTCTATTTTTAATATTTTTTTTCTTTTGAGTCTAGTCATTCTTGCAGTCATTTTATTTTATGAATGTTGTATTCCACTTACTTAAATCTTATCTTTTTAATTTTTGCTTTGATGGGTTATCCTTTTTGTAACTCTTAAAGTTTAGTTGAATTAATTTGACTTAAGATTAGAGGTTTGACTAACTGGTAATCAAAAGAAAAATTTATATAACATACCTATACAGCTATACCAGTTCATTATGACTAATTAAGAAAAAATACAATAAATTAAAAGAATACGTCACATTTAAAAAAGATGACGATTTTATCTTCCTTCTGACAAGGAATTTTGAGTCTATAAAGAGTAATTCCATTATTAATGTATAGAACAATGATACATTTTACTCATGTTTAGGTTCATATTTCACATTTAACGGATAGATTTCAAACAACAAAGCAAAAATAGACAAGTACCGGAAGGTAAACAACTAATTAGCACAATATAATT